GAGTTTCCTGCAGCAGGGGCCAGGCCCACTCCTTTGCGGAGTTTCAGCATCACTCAACACCAGGCGGAGGCAAAGAGGAGGGGCTGGGGATGTTTACTAAATGAATCAGCTACCATTCTGAGGCCTTACCACCCATCAGGGGCTGTGTCAAATGCTTGGCATTTGTTATCTCGTTTAAGCCTCACAACAGCTCTAGGAGGTAAATGCTATTATTATGCCCCATTCTATAGATGAGGAAACTGAGGCAACGGGAGGCTGGGTGATCCACCTAATGTCACACAGCCCCTCCTTTATTTGGGAAACCGTCCCCCCCAACTGCCAGAGGGCAGGCAGCCTGGTGCAGGGCTGTGTGGACGCACGTGGACAGCCCTCTCCCTGGTGGTGGTGGGGGTCTCCCTGTGGGAGCTGTTCACCCTCGTCAGTGCAGCCTCTGCTCTGAAGATGGTCTGGCTCTCCCTGTTGCCTCTGCCACCCTCCTGTGCTCTGCCCATTCACAGCTCCAGTACACCAGTCTTGCCCCATGAACTCTAGTTCCCTCCCCATCCAGGCCAACTTCCTCCAGATGTGCTCCGGGTTGAGCAAGGCCCCACCAAGGTTGCACTGTGTCCCCCCCCCACCCCCCAAAAACGGAACCAGCTCTCCCAGTACTCTCTGCCTCAGGCACAGAAGGCCTCCATTGGTGCCATCTGTGTGTGGCAGGATGGTTAAGGCAGCTTCTCCAGCAGGGCCGGGGAAGATGCCAAGTGGTAATGCTTGCACTGACCAGAGTGGACTGCCAGGCCTGCAGGATGACATAGCACTCTGAAGGGAAGGGTTAGGTCGGTTGTAATGACTGGAAGAATCAAGAGACCTTTGAGCATGGAGGCTCAAAAAAACAGAGCCTCTGCTGGTCTGGGGAGCTATAGGGAGAATGATCACAGGCCCTCACAGCTGTGCCTCATGCCACTGATCCATTTCAGAACAGGTGGGGCAGGGCTCTTGGAGATCACCTTGCCATCTATTCTCTCATGGAATAGGTGGGAAACTGCAGCCCAGAGAGGGCACAGCATATCACACAGCATATCAGGTGGTAAGGTCTACATTCCTCTCTGGGCTCCCCATGGGATTGTGGGCTCCTCTTGTGGCAGGTTGGTGTCGTAGCCAGCTCTGTCCCCTGGGGTCTGAGAGATGCAAAGGCAATGTGGCTGGGTGCTTCCTCAGAGGCCTCTCACCCTGTCCATCTCTGGGGAAACTGGAGTAAGATGAGTCACTGGCTCTGTGTTCCCTGGGGTTCGCCCAGAGGCTGGCCATGTGGGACCAAGTTCACTGCTCAAATTTCCCCTTTTTAGTAAACAGCAGCCACTTCCTCCTGGGTTGGCCATTTCCTTCTGGTCACTGGTTCCTGAGAGGCTCGAGGGGGCAGGGGCTCACATGGGCAGGCAGGGCAGACCCTCTGGCACCAAGCTCACCAGTACTGGACATGGGGGAAGCATGCAGCCTGTGTAAAGCTGGCGTCTGACCACAGGACATTGACCTTTAATCTAAGAGACTTTGGAAACTGCAAAATGTCAATAAGCCATCAAAGAAGGGTGCCAAGGAATTAGGAACCACCAGGGGCAGGCCCAGAAGGTCCATGTAGGAGGGCCTGAACGGGGGTGATCTGGTTAGAAAAGGGTGGAAACTAAAGCTGTTTTACATAAAACATAAAAATTTGTCCAAAATAAAGTTGGAGAGAGGTGTTTAAGAGAGATGAGATGAAGGTTCACTGTCCAGCCCCCTTCAGCTTGTAGCTTTAGGAATGGGGGCTGACACAATGCAGGATTTGCTCATGATATAACCGGCATTCCAGGGTGGCCAGGAAAGAACTGGCAGGGCAGGGGGGCCTGGGAGAAGTCTGGAGGATCCAGAGGGTGTTGGGGTCTGTCCTGGAGCCTTGGGCCTCTTCTGCTTGGCTCTGCAGAGACATGGGGCCCTCCAGAGGCCTCTGCTGAGATGTTGCCACTGGCTTTGAGGCCTCCACACTTTGCCTTTCTCTTTGGGGTCTCTGGGCTTGGGGCTGAGCAGCCTCATCAGAATGCCACATTCTGGGCCTGGCCAGAGCCTGGCAAAGGGCCAGGAGAGTTTAGATATAGAGTTTTTATCAGTAGATAGTGTAGGTCCAGCACCCGGGTCTGCCAGCTTTCAAGGGGCCTAGGAAATGTTTGTAGCCTAAGAAAAGAATATTGGCTGCAAAACCCAAGAAAAAGAGGAAAATCAAAATTAATAAATATTTCATTAAATGTCTACAAAGTGTAACATTATGTCAACTTCATAGTTATCATAAAAATGTCACTCCCTTTGAAAACAAGTTATAGGTTGGGTTTTTTCTCACTCAGCCAGGATTCCCAATAGACATGATGACTGCCAAGATATGGTAGCCAAACGTAAATTAAAATGAATTCCTCGGGGCTTCCCTGGTGGCGCAGTGGTTGGGAGTCCGCCTGCCGATGCAGGAGACGCGGGTTCGTGCCCCGGTCCGGGGGGATCCCGCATGCCGCGGGGCGGCTGGGCCCGTGAGCCATGGCCGCTGAGCCTGCGCGTCCGGAGCCTGCGCTCCGCAACGGGAGAGGCCACAACAGTGAGAGGCCCGGCTACCCCAAAAAAAAAAAAAAAAATTAAAAAAAAAAAAAAAAAAAATTGAATTCCTCGTAGTCAGATCCTATCCAGAGCATGATTCTAGAAATTCCTTCAAACATTTTTAGAGCAAAAATTATGTTTACTATGGGATGTGGAGCATTTTAATATGTTTGATATGATATGGGGTATGGCCTCCATAAGGAAGAGGGCAGGGCCTGCAAGCATGTTAAAACGACAGGGAGAGAGTGGAAGTTCCAGTGCAGGAGGGTCAGGCTTGAGGCCAGCTTGCCCACTGAGAAGCACAAACACCAGCTCTGGGAGGGACGGCAAAGGTCTCTTGTCTAGTACCATCTGCCCAGACCCGGCCAGCCAGGCCAAACTCTTGCCCAGGGTGGGGGGCTCACTCCTGCCACCCGTGAAGGATGCCTTCCTCCTGCCTAGCAGATATCTGCCTCTACCAGATACCCCACAGGGCTTAGTTCTGTCCTTTCAGTCGACAGTCACTGGTCACCCTTACTTTTGCACAACTCACTGACAGAGCTGAGGGCGGAGGTGGGCTGTACCCCACTCCCGCCCTGCGGCCTCCCGTATACCTCCTGTGTGTAGCTGTGTACTGCAGTCTCAGTTCTCCCAGCTCTTCCCCTTTCCATAGGATTTCCCCGTCACATCCCGCCCTGGCTACCTTCCCCATAAGCCAATTAATCTCAGCTCCTCTTGCCCATGGCAAGGCCCAAATTAAACATGGTTCCTTCACTCCTGAGGGTGGCCCATCCCATCCCTGCAGTGCATTCTCTGGCCTCCCATGTGTTGGGGCTGCTAGAGCCCCGTCTCTGAACCTGCTGATTTCAAAGGACATCAATGCTAACTGTATAATAATAATAATTGATATACTGACTGCTTACTATGTAAGCACTTTTACATGATCTTGTAATCCTTACAAGAACAATGGTATGAAGTAGGCACTTATACTGTCCCCATTTTATAGATGAAGAGACTGAGGCTCAGAGAGGTAAAATAAATTGCCCAAAGTCACACTTCTGGTTAGTGGCAGAGCTAGGAGACAAATTCCATCAGTCTGCATTCAAAGAGAACCAAAGGGCACTAAGGTAGAGGTGTCCTTGCTGTGACCAGCCAGCCAGATTCTTGACAGACCCTGGGGAAAGGGGTGGTCATGTGGCAGCTAACATAGAGCCCGTAGCTGGTTGGCTGGCGGGGTAAGCTCACTCTTGCTACCTGTCTCCAAGTAAGCAGTCTAATTTGGTATCCCTGTCCATTTCAGAAAGCTCGATTTTCCACCTGCATCTGTTAGTGTGTCTGTGTAAAAACATGCAAAACGAAGATGAGATATTGTTTTGATTTGGCCCTTTCACAAACGTAGCTATGACCTTCCTTTTTTCTTCAAGTAAAGTGAACTTTTGTATTTGCTTCTCCCCCACATCTTTCCACGGCTCATTCCCTCACATCATCCAGGTCTCTGCTCCATGTCACCTCCTCAGAGGGGCCTCCCTGACCCTCTGGAACATAGCCTGCCACTCCTGCCCTACATCCCCCCATCCTCTTACTTTGCTTTATTGCGAAACAATGGCACTTGCCTCTTGAAGTTATTGTGAGCATTCAAATGAGTTAATATATAAAGCACTGGTAAGTAATACATGCTATTTAAGTGGTAGTCCTTTTAAAAATTCCATCACAGCGTGTATACAACACAGTATATATTTATCTGTCTTCTTTATGTAGTTTGTATTATCTCTCTCCCTCACTAGACTATTATCTCCATGAGGGCAGGGAAATGATTGGCTTGTTCACTGCTGTGTCCTCCAGTGTCTGGAACTGTACCTGGCACATACAAGGCGTTCAGTAAATATTTGTTGAAATCGGTGAACGAACTGAGGTCTGGAGAGGTGGGAAGTGCTTTGGCTTTCATTCACGCATTCTATAAACATTTACTGAGCACCCACTCAGCGCCAAGCAATAGGCTCTCTCATTTTTGTAATGCTAGCATGTGAATATGGCAGGGCAAAGATTTAAAAATAAAGTTTTGTCGTGAGGTATAATTTACATAGAGTGAAATGATGAATTTTGAGAAATGCGTGTTCCAAGTAACCCACACCCCCATAAAGAAATAGAACAATGTTTCAGCCCGGCAGCGCAAGGTTTTGAGCCCCAGATTACACAAAGGAACAGAGGGCAGGGGTGACTCTTCCGGACCAGCCTCTGGGGCGCCTGCTGGACCGCCCCGGGTGCGGGCCGGCGCTCCCGGGGGCGGGCGGGGGCAGGACTACAAGTCCCAGGCTGCTTTGCGCGCCCGCCGGCCGTGCGGAGCGGCGGGGTTGAAGGGAGGGGGCTGAGCGGCGGCGCCGAGTCGCTGGGGGCCGCGGCGCTGGCGGTTGGAGCGCGGGCTGGCGATGCTGGGCCCCGGGGCCCGGGCGGAGGAGGGTAGCACTGGCGAGGGCGCGGCCCCGGGGACCGCGGCGGAGCCTGGGGCAGGGCAGGGGCGGGAGCCAGCGCGGCTGTGCGGCTACCTGCAGAAGCTGTCGGGCAAGGGCCCGCTGCGCGGCTACCGCAGCCGCTGGTTCGTGTTCGACGCGCGCCGCTGCTACCTCTACTATTTCAAGAACCCGCAGGACGCGCAGCCCCTCGGCCACCTGGACATCGCGGACGCCTGCTTCAGCTACACGGGCCCCGACGAGGCGGCCGAGCCTGGCGCGGAGCCGCCCGCCCACTTCCAGGTGCACAGCGCGGGAGCCGTCACGGTGCTCAAGGTGGGACAGCGCGACCCGCAGCCCCGCACCTGCCTCCCGGGAACCCGCCCACACGCCCTTCCCCTGCTCCCCCTGCCTAGCCTCTGGGGCTGTCCCCGATGCCCAGCTCAGCCTAGCTCCTCTGACCATCGAACTTTTTGCATACCCTCCTTTCTCTAAAGCCCTTCTGCCTTTCTTTCCCCACTTCTTCCTCAGACTCTGTCCCTGTCCCCATCTCAAGCCCTTTACTTGGGTTTAGGCCAGAGTGGCTGGGGGCTACTCAGTCCCTTGACCCGTTATCTCCCTCTGTGCCTTGCCTCGGGCCCTTCTCTGTCCACCTCCCTTCCCCTCCCCACCCCTCTCCTGTGGATGTCTTGTGTAACCCTCCCAGGCATTCATTACTGTAGGCTTCCTGCCCTTGGGTAAGTTATTACCCTCTTCAGCTGCCTCTTCTGTAAAATGGGGATAGCAGTAGTATCGACTTCGTGGGGGTGTTGGAATTACATGAAATATACTCTAACCTCTCGTAAGTGTTAACTGCGCTCAGGGCTATAACCGAGAGAGGCAGAGTTGGCAGGGCCCTTAAACATAATCCACTGCAGTCTCCTCCAGAGTGGGCAGAGACACTCCAGCTAAGGTCACACAGACAGTAAGTAGCAGAGACTGTTTGCTTGCTCCGTATTTTGGCTGGGAGAGGAGGGAAACGTTTGCTTCAACCAGTTCTGCCTTGCCCATTTGAGGCTTCCGTAATCTTTTTTGTACACAGTGTGTAGAAGCATGGGACTAGAGTCAGAAGTCCTGATTCTGGTGCTGAGAAGCCTTCCCTGTCCTTGGGGCATCCCATCATCTCCTAGGGGCCCTCCTGCTTCCAGCACCTGGGCGTCTGGGCCCTGGCCTGGAGTTGGGTCTCTCTGCCAGCCTCCTTCCCTGCCTGGTTCCTGTGAGCCTCCACCCTCACTCCTCTCTGTCGCTTCTCTTCCGTATTACAAGCTGGGCTTTCTCCAGAGCAGCAGGGCTGGGCTGGGATGTATGAAAACTCTGCAAAGCTCGCCAAGTGGAGAGCAGAGTGGGCTGAGCCTGACGTCCTTGGCCTTGTGAGCACAGGGCTGTTCCCAGGATCTCCGAAGCCAGCAACAGTTGGAGCTGCTCCCCAGGTCGTTTTGAGAGCTTTGTCAGCTCAGTTCCTGCTGTTTCAGGCAGAGTCTGATTACTGTGTTCTTTTAGGCTCTTCCATCCCTTCTTTAAGTGGGTGCAGACAGGCTTTTTCTCCAAAGGAAGCCAAGCAGAGTTGCAGTTCAACTCGGGCTTACTGAGAAAGCATTGGTGTAAACTTGGGAGTGATCTGAGCGAGTACACAGGGACTTTTGCCAAAGAAAGGCTTGTCCTCACTGTATATATGGACTGTCCCTGTGTACAGATGACTTTCCTGTGGAATTGTTTGTTAAAACAGAAAATAGAGCATCCTGTTTCAGATTTTCTCAAATGACTTTGGAGCCCTCCATCAGGTTTTTTCATTAAAATTTTTTGAATGATGGAGGTATCTACCTAAGTGGGGCTGCAAGATGCAGTGTCAGGAGTGTGGCTTTAGACTTGGATTGACTTGAACTTGCGGCCTGAATCTGCCACTCACAGGTGTTGAGCAAACTATACCACCTCTCTGTCCCAGTTTCCTTTTCAGTCTAATGGGAATCTTACCTTCCTCATTGGTTAGTTTTGAGAATTCTGGAAAATAGCTGGCACAGAGTAGGCACTACATGGCAGCCATATGAAACAACAAGTGGTGTCTTTGGCCAATTATGTAGTACATTCATATAATGGAATATTATGCAGCCGTGAATATAAAGGAATGAGAGCTATAGGCGTCAACATGGATGACTCTCATAAACATAAAATTGAGAAAGAAAAACAAGGTTACGGAGTGACTGCATACAGAGGTACCATTTATGTAAAGACTAAGAAGATCATGCAAACACATATGCTGCATGGGGAGTGGGAGAGCTGTGTGGGCGTGATGAGCCCTGGATTCAGGATGGTGGTTCCCACTTGGGAAGAGAGGGGAACGTGAGTGGGAATGGGTGCTCAGGGGGGTTCTAGTGTCTTTGCAGTGTTTTATTTCTAGCACTGGGTGGTGTTTGTTATATTATTCTGTCTTTTTGTATGTTCAGAATATTTCTTTAAAAAAAAAGGAAATTGATTTTCATGTAGGTTACTGACTATGGAATATTTTGGTATGTAAAGTTGAATTAGTCACAGAATAAGACAGCATGCCCGAGACATGCTTTTTATAAAGGGATGGCTTTATAAAAACAATGGAAATGGAAACACAGGCAAGCCTTTTTAAAGGAAGGGAGCAGTCAAAATGTAAGGTTTCAGGGCTTCCCTGGTGGCGCAGTGCTTGAGAGTCCGCCTGCCGGTGCAGGAGACGCGGGTTCGTGCCCCGTTTCGGGAGGATCCCGCATGCCGCGGAGCGGCTGGGCCCGTGGGCCATGGCCGCTGGGCCTGCGCGTCCGGAGCCTGTGCTCCGCAAATGGGAGAGGCCACAACAGTGAGAGGCCCGCGTAACGCAAGGAAAAGAGGAGAAAAAAAAAAAAAAAAAAAAAAAAAAAAATGTAAGGTTTCAGAGTAGGGGTGTGTTTTAAGAAGGATTTTTTAAATTTTAATTTAAATTTTTTAATTTCTAAAAAAAATATTTTATTTATTTGATTTTTGGCTGCGTGTGTCTTCGTTGTTGCGTGGGGGCTTTCTCTAGGTGCGGCGAGCGGGGGATACTCTGTTGCGGTGCACGGGCTTCTCATTGTGGTGGCTTCTCTTGTCGCGGAGCACGGGCTCTAGGTGCGCGGGCTTCAGTAGTTGTGGTGTGTGGGCTCAGTAGTCGTGGCTTGTGGGCTCTAGAGCGCAGGCTCAGTAGTTGTGGCGCACAGGCTTAGTTGCTCCATGGTATGTGGGACCTTCCCAGACCAGGACTGGAACCCGTGTCACCTGCATTGGCAGGCGGATTCTTAACCACTGCTCCACCAGGGAAGCCCCAAGCAGGATGAATTTTATTGTACAGTAATTCCTTCTGAATTGTGGGCATAAAAATTTTATGGTGGTAAAAGTGGAAATTAGCAATTTATCTTCCTTTTCACCTTTCAGATCTAAGAACTGACTCCCATAAGCTTTAATGCTTCCCTGTAGGGCTGCTCAGCGGTAGGGCAGACCCTAATTTCTAAGGGGGATTGTAGGTTAGTGAGGATTAAACCCTGCTCAAGCTTCAGCTAGTTGTATATAATTTTATAGATACCATTTCTTTTGACGGGTTAAAAAGAAAAAAAAATCAGCAATTTGCTTATTGTATTATCATATGGTTCTTATTTTAAAGTGACTTTCTGCCTTCTCTGGAGGAGCTGTGGTTTTGTTGAAGTTTTCCAAAATGTTTTACCGCTTGAGTCTTAATGAAAGCTGATATTGGAATTTCTTGGTAGACTTTTCTATTCATAAACTCAGGGATGTGGGCCTTATTTTACAGATGAGGGAATGGAGGCCGGAGAGGGGATGTGATTTTTCTGAGATCTTGAAGATAGACTCAGATGCTCTTGGCTAGTAGAGACTCTGAGAACAGTGAGTGTCCAAAATGCCAAGTATCTAAGTCTATTATCAGTTTTGACAAGTCTCCCTTTTTTTTTTTTTGCTTTGGATTTCAGTGGTTTGGGATTGGATAAGATGTAGTGGTTTTTCCCTTACTGCATTTGATTTCTGTCCTTTTCATGCAGAATAAAAGCACCAGGAACATTTTACCTACTGATTCTTTACCAGGATGTATGGTACCTGTTAGTAGACATTTGGAAACTGCTACAACAGACAGAAACTGATGCTTCCTGTGTGTGTGTGTGTGTGTGTGTGTGTGTGTGTGTGTGTGTGTAAAGGTGCTGGAGGCTTCTCACTGAGCTTTCCTGGGATCTGAGGCACAGGAGACCATTCTGGAGTGAGCTGACACTTAGGGAAGAGAGAGCATGTGACTGACTGGGGGTAAAGCTTGAATGACCCTGCTCTCCCAGATCTCCACAGTCCCTGGAGCAAGGAGCATCACCAGACTGTCAGCAGATGCGCTCCGCTCCCTCTCCTCCCTTTCTTGAAGGCATATGGTGCACAAATGGACGTGTGTCTTGGTTTCTGAGTCGCACGTAACGGAGCAATCAGGCATCCCTATTCTTAACGCACTTTTGTGGGAAGGATGCACATTCTCTGGTGTTGAAACTGCTCTCAGCTTAATGACAAACATTTGCTAGCTTGGGTAATCATAGTGTGTGCAGTACAAAATAGATGTGGTGAACCGGCCTTCTTGGCTAAATGGTTCTGCTAAGCTGTTCTTCCCTGGGGCGTCCGCTCAGGGGTCTTGAAATGTTATTTAAATCTTTTATCGAGACCTGACTTTCCATGGATTTTTCATGGCTTCCCAATGAGCGAGTTCCTTAAAGGCAGGTATAGTCTCACAGGTGTGATGTCGCAGTGGCTTTCTGTCTCCCACTGTCTGTCACACAGGCCTCATGGTAGTGTGGCCTCCACACTGTTTCCTGCTCATGAGGCTCCAAGCACTGCTGTTTGCATCCTTGCCCTCCCAGAACAGCACCTGCACAAAGTAGGTACCCAGGCAGACGTTTGTTGAACGAATGAGTAGAAGGTCATTACCCAGTAAGCGCTGGTTTTGGTGTGAGCTCCAGCCCTTTAGAAGTGATCAGCCAGAATTCTCAAATGTATTAAATGACATTCTCACCACATGTCATGGAGGTGCCTGCCATTCAAGGAATGCCCAGTAAATATGACAGGCATCAGGGGTTCAAAAGACGGATTACCGTCGGTCCTTAATTTTCAGGTCTCTTGTATTTCATGTCCACAGTCTTGACTCTGAGGACACTGTTGTAGCAGTGGGTGAATGTTTTATGTAAAAGGCCATGTAGTAAATATTTTAGGTCTTGCATCAGTGCCATCTCTGTGACTACTCTGCTCTGCTGTTATAGTACAGAAACAACTGTAGAATGAGT